AGGCATAGATGTCCCTTCGCCAGCCATGAGGAGGAGGTGGTGCCACCACTGCTGCAGCCCTGAAGGTCCACCCAGGTGTGGATTGCCTCCCTGCGGCTCTGGCCTCGATGAGGGTACCTGTCATGGGGGCACCTAGCTATGCCCTCTCAGAAATTTGCACCCGAGGTCACGGTCCTCCTGCTCACCCACGGTATGCCACTACAGTAGACTGCATTCCAGCCAGTCGTTAAGTCAGAGATTTCTAAACACACAGGAACACATTCTAGCTGGGCAAAGCAACTCAAGGAGAGCTGGGAGCCAGCTATGGTCTGGGCAGAGTCTTGAGGGCCAGAAATGGATGCCCAGAAGGCCACACACAGCCCCAGGGCCTGAGGTTTCCTGCCTCTGCTTTTCACAGCTATTGGTAGAGTTGCAAGCTTCAGTCAACGTAATTGGTAGGTTAAGCAACTAGAGCTTTAGTTGACTAATTGCTGGGGGCTGACATTAATCATGAGGGCAGATTTCTAATCATGATGATGCTGAGAGTTAAGGGCATGGCTGCTTATTCTGAGAGGCCATTTTAGCGCGCTAGTGTATGTATTACTTTAACAGAGAATGACAGCTAAAATTATAAATGATGGTTCCGTCTCTGATAATGAGTAGCAACTTCTGTGCATTAAATCTTACCCTTCCTTCAGTATTCTCGAAAAAGCACCAGTAGGGAGGTTTCGGTAATATGCAAGTTTATTTAATCAGGTACAAGGCAGATGATTAATCAACAAAAAATTACTTACCAATCAGCTCCCAACCCTAGTTATTTTAGGCAATTACTGCTAACTGATCGTTCTTGGATTTTGTAATTTATTAAACATGCTCAGTATTTATAAAGCACATTTCATGTGTTGCAAACGCTTCCCATACGTTACCTGACCGACATTTAACAATAGCTATGTATGGTAGGCCAGTTGTAATATTCCTATATTGCAGGTGTGGGGTGGAGGCTGGAATAGAGGCTACCTGTAGGGTATCTTTATGTTTCTTCCACAGGGCAAGTAGCAGCTTTGGGGGATGTGTGGGTTTTGATTTTCATGGGGGATGGGGGACGGCGAAGGGACTGACACGGGATAAAGGATTATCCCTCTCCCAACTGCTATTGAGCTGGTGCCCTAAACCAGGCATAGGGAAACTCTGGCCCTCCAGATGTTTGGGACTACAATTCCCACCATCCCTGACCACTGGTCCTGTTAGCTAGGGATGATGGGAATTGTAGTCCCAAATTATCTGGAGGGCTGGAGTTTGCCTATGCCTGCCCTAAACAGCCTTGGCCCTGTATACCTGAAGGAGCGTCTCCACCCCCATCATTTAGACCAAACACAGAGGTCCAGCTCTGAGGGCCTTCTGGTGGTTCCCTCACTGTGAAAAGTAAAACTACAGGAAACCAGGTAGAGGGTCTTTTTGGTAGTGGCACCCACTGTGGGAATGTTTTGGGTAACAGGAGAGGATATATTGATTAATGTAATCCTTCCTAACTCGCGCTAGCAAGTTTCTTTGCACAGCAGAGTGCATTTACACAGCAGAAAGCTGGTTGCAGACTCGTGTGAGTCTCTTAAGATAATAAGCAATTGAATCTGGCTTGTCCAGATTGAGGTGTTCCTGGTAAGACCTCTTGAATCCCTCCTAAAAGAATAAAGACACAACAGTCTTATTCATAAGTAACAAAAATAGTTTAACTCACAATCAGGCAGAGCAGTGTCATCCCTGAAGGCAGGCTTTAGGCTTAAAGTTACAAATATGTACAAAACAGGTTTACCCCATATGGGAGATAACCTAGGGACTCCTTACTGACAGCCAGTAGTGTAGTCCAGGTGAAGCAGAAAGCAGGCAGGACGAAAAAGAAGGGAGGTGGCTATGTGACTTGGCCTTTTACCAGGTCTGGAAAGGTCACACCAGCCTACTAGTCACATGCAAAAGAAGGATGCTCCAGTCAGGTGTAACAGGAAGTTCAACCCCTGCATGACCACTCTAGCAAAACAGGTAATGCTATACTTGACTGCTCCAGTGGTTTACATCCCACACCCACCCTGTGGAACACCCTCCCATCAGATGTCAAGGAGATGAATAATTATACAGTGGTACTTCGGGTTAAGAACTTACCGTATTTTTTGCTCTATAAGACTCAGTTTTTCCCTCCTAAAAAGTAAGGGGAAATGTGTGTGCGTCTTATGGAGCGAATGCAGGCTGTGCAGTTATCCCAGAAGCCAGAACAGCAAGAGGGATTGCTGCTTTCACTGCGCAGCGATCCCTCTTGCTGTTCTGGCTTCTGAGATTCCTAATTCCCCCCCCCCCTTGTTTTCCTCCTCCAAAAACTAGGTGCATCTTATGCTCTGGTGAGTCTTATAGAGCGAAAAATACGGTAATTCGTTCTGGAGGCCCGTTCTTAACTTGAAACTGTTCTTAACCTGAAGCACCACTTTAGCTAATGGGGCATCCCACTGCCGCTGCGCCGCTGGAGCACGATTTCTGTTCTCACCCTGAAGCAAAGTTCTTAACCCGAGGTAATATTTCTGTGTTAGCGGAGTCTGTAATCTGAAGCGTATGTAACCCGAGGTACCACTGTATAACCTTTAGGAGACATCTGCAGGCAAGCCTTTTAACGTGTAATGTTTTATTGTGTTTTTATATATGTTGTAAGCCACCCACTGTGGCTGGGGCAACCCAGTCAGATCGGCAGGGTGCAAATAAGAATATTATTATTAAATTATTATTATTATTATTATTAGCACTTTTTACACCAGCTCTCTGCATCAACAGATAGTAGTTGCCATTTCAGATTATTGAATCACGCCAGGGAGTATACAATTGCAAACTGTTATGTATAAAAGTGCACTGGGTGAGGGCGGGGGGAGGAACCCCTGTTTGTTTCAAAGGTTGCACGTGTACGCACCCTTCGTGTTCAATTTCACCCCTGGGAAAAGAAAGGATTGCTCCAAAGTTGCCTGGCTGAGATGGGGTTTCGAACAGTGTTAACATGGCTTGCAGCTCTTGCATCCTTCGCTGCTCCCTTATGCCAGCAATTTCAAAATTCATTCAATATTTAGATGAAACTGGACTCCAGAAATCTGGGGTTTTATTTGTTCATTTTTAGTATCCTGTATATACAGGCACAATTTTATTGGCTTTAAAAAAAGGCCCATGGTAACGTTTCCAAACCATTCTGGGGTTTTTTCCTTTTTCTTTCTCTCCTCCCTTGCTTGTGATGCCAGATTAAATCTTGATGCCTGAATCTCAGTTCTGTCTCGAGGAAAGATACAGTGGTACCTTGGGTTAAGTACTTAATTCGTTCCGGAGGTCCGTACTTAACCTGAAACTGTTCTTAACCTGAAGTACCACTTTAGTTAATGGGGCCTTCCACTGCCGCCGTGCCGCCGGAGCACAATTTCTGTTCTCATCCTGAAGCAAAGTTCTTAACCTGAAGCACTATTTCTGGGTTAGCGGAGTCTGTAACCTGAAGCGTATGTAACCTGAAGTGTATGTAACCTGAGGTACCACTGTATCTGGAATGGGTTTTTCACTGGGTGTGGGTGAGTGAATAAAAAACAATTTTCTAGGTAGATAGAATCTATCTATCTTGTAGCTTGTTTGCATCCAAGGGGAAGCATAAGAAGCTTCTGCAGTTAAGCTGATGTGGCCAGATCAATTTCATCTGGGCAAGGCCAAGAAGACGCATGTCCAGCCAGCCTCCAGCTTCAGTGCTTATTGAATCCAGCATGGTTTTGTTGCCATCATCTGGACATTATTTTGTTTTGTGTACCGTGCAGAAGCTGTGATTGCCACGTTGTGAACACATTTTCTCCCCCTTCCTTCTCTAGTACTAAGTGAATTTCCACCCTGCCCCTGCAAAGCATGCCCAGATGCCACACATCTGTTTGTAAGGCTTCTGAGTCACTAGCTGTTCTCCCCAAATGTGCTTAAGCCGCAGTTCTCCTATTACAAAATAACTCATGGCTTAGCCCCGGAGTGCCCTTTTAAGAAGGGCAAGATCCAGCTCCTCAGAGGCACTCCCTGTATGTGAATGGATTGTCAGTACTTTTTTGATTGGGGATGGTGGCATTGTGAGTCCTATGATTCTTAAGGTAAAGGGACCCCTGACCCTTAGGTCCAGCCGTGACCGACTCTGGGGTTGCGGCGTTCATCTCGCTTTATTGGCCGAGGGAGCTTCCGGGTCATGTGACCAGCATGACTAAGCCGCTTCTGGCGAACCAGAGCAGCGCACGGAAACACCGTTTACCTCAACATCATCATTTTAAATTTGTATACCGCCTTTCTATCTTACAATACTCAAGGCGGTTTACAAGCTGAAGAAACAAAAAATGTACATCTTATAACAATCCAATGCAATACAAAAATGTGATAATAAAACATAACTTTAAAATAGGCAACCTCTACCAAAAAAGTAACATTCAGCAAGCATTAGAATAGTATAAAATAATGATATCAACATATAAAAGTTAAACAGAAATCCACAATAATACAGTATCTAAACTATAATCAATAAAACAACGGCAAGCCACAGTACATAAAACAATACAATACACATTGAGAAGCAGAGGGTACAGCAAGGCAGGTGGAAGGAGGCCTTGCCTGATGGAGTCTCTCCCCTCACAGTTTTTCCTCCTTCCCGCCAGAGCGGTACCTATTTATCTACTTGCACTTTGACGTGCTTTCGAACTGCTAGGTTGGCAGGAGCAAGGACCGAGCAACGGGAGTTCACCCCGTCGCAGGGATTCGAACCGCCGACCTTCTGATTGGCAAGCTCAGTGGTTTAGACCACAGCGCCACCTGCGTCCCTATGATTCTAGTTAGCTGTGATTCCTGAGTTGCAGGGGGCTGGGATAGATGACCCTTGGGGTTCTTTCCAGTTCCATGATTCTATGAATGCATGTGACAAAACTTTGCTTGCCATTTCTAAAGAAAAGCAGCTTCTGAAATGGTTAAAAAATTGTCCTGTAGCACCTTAGAAACCAAAAAAGTTTGTTCTGGGTATAAGCTTTCGTGTGCATGCGCACTTCTTCAGATACACTGAAATGGAAGAAGAAGTGTGCATGCACATGAAAGCTTATACCCAGAACAAACTTAGTTGGTCTCTAAGGTGCTACTGAGCATTTTTAAAATTTTATTTATTTTGTCTGCGTCAGACCAACACGGCTACCTACCTGAATCTAAATTCTGAAACGGTGGACTCTTACCAGGCTGCATAAACTGCATATATTCTAAAGCTTTTCTCACAGAGTTCTGGGAACTGTGAGATTGTTGGGCAGGGGGAAGTCATGTGCTTTAAATTTATGGCATGTATGCATTGCTGGGCAGATTGTTGGGCAGGGGGAAGTCATGTGCTTTAAATTTATGGCATGTATGCATTGCTGGCCTGGCACTTTTAGCCACACATACCACCTGATCTTTGCCATACAGTAGATTGGCAATACTTTGGTGTGTGTGTGGAGGGTCCCATTGTCAGGGATAGATCACCCCATGGTGTGGTTTGGACTAAATGCAGCTTCTCCGCTCTGCATAGGTCGGGGGCCCACCAGAGGCACTTAGCTGCCCCCAACATTGGGGGCGGGGACGGACAGTCATGCGTGCATGATGTGACTTAATTGCCCTGGCTGATGACATTTGCTAGAGAGCAAAGAAGTTTGGAGAGATAAAATCGGATATGGAAATATCGTGAGAGGCAGGACTGAGAATTTGGAGTTGCTTTGAAGTTCAGGCCGTGGGAAGCCGTAAAACCAGAACTAAATTCGGAAGACAGTTGGATTTTTTAATTTTTATTGGATTATGATTATGATTTGAATGTTAATTGGATGTTTTTATTGGAAAATTAATAAACGCTCTAACAACAAACAAAGAAAAGATGACTGAAATATACTCCGAGTCGCAAAGTGATTTCATGCTCTTTATTCAGCTCATAGTGGTGAGGAGGAATGAATGAATGTCCCCTCACAGTATCTGCTTTATATACATTATTTACACAATGGGCTGCACATGATTGGCTAATTCTGGAATTCTACTGTAAGCCAATCAGGTTGTGGATTCACTTCTATCTGGAGCAGGATTGGGTGATTCCTGCCAACCAATCATACTGCTGCATTGTTCTAGGACCAATCAGACTGCTGCATTCTGAATCCTATTGTTCTAGGACCAATCAGACTGCTGCCTTTTGGATCCTATTGTTCTAGGACCAATCAGACTGCTGCAGTTTGGATCCTATTCAACTCAGTACATAACAATGACATTTGCTAGGAGCGAGACAGTGGGACTGTGCTCATTCTCCTTGACCTCTTGTTGACTTTCAATACCCCTGGACATGATATCCTTTGGGAATGGCTCAGGAGGTTGGGGGCACTGTACTTCAGTGGTCTTGCTCCTCCTTCCAGGGTAGGGTAGTTATGCAGCAGAGCATGGCTTGGTGCTGTGGGAGTTACCCTGTAGCATCCCAGAGGTTTCCATCTTGTCCCCCATGCTGTTTCACATCTATCTGAAAACAACTGGGAATTGCCATCAGGAGAGTGGAGTGTAGTATCACCAATATGCAGACGATTCCCTGCTCTTGCATCTCTGTTCCATTTGAAGTGGAGAGCAGTGTGTTGAGGGGCTAGATCGGTGCTTGGAGGTTGTGATGTGCTGGATGTGGTCCAATAAACTGAAGCTGAATCTTAAAAAGACAGTTGACATATGTGTTCCGAGCTCTTGAGATAGTCAGATGGCCTACACATTCCTAGAAGGAGCAGGTCTGGATCCAGGATACTAGGTTCTGGTGGCTAGAAGTATTTTTCCAGTTATGGCTGGTTAGCCATAGCCCTTTGGGGCAAAGATGACTTGACCACTGTACTCCACGCTTTGGTAACTTTCAGGCTGGATTACGGCAATGTGCATTACATGGGACTGCCCTTGAAGACTATTTGGAAACGTCAACTGGTCCAAAATGCAGCAGCAAAATTAGTGGCTGGGCTTCCATTCAGAACTCAAAGCAACCCCTGTTTTTAAACAGCACAGTTGGTTAGAGTGTGGTGCTGATAACACGCCAAGGTTGCAGGTTTGATCCCTGTATGGTATGGCTGCATATTCCTGCATTGTGGGGGGGGGATTGGACTTAGATGATCCTCCGGACCCCTTCCAATTTTTAACTTCTTACAGGGTCCTTGCTGCGGGACCACATTCACCCAGTGCTATACCAGCTGCACTGGCTCCCGGTGGAATACAGGAACAGGTTTAAGGTGTTGGTTTTAACCTTTAAAGCCCTATACGGCCTAGGATCCTCATACCTACGGGACCGCCTCTCCTGGTATGTCCCACGGAGGACCTTACGGTCTTCAAACAAAAACATCTTGGAGGTCCCAGGCCACAGGGAGGTTAGGCTGGCCTCAACCATTGCCAAGGCTTTTTCAGCCGTGGCCCCGATCTGGTGGAACGCTCTGTCACAGGAGACTAGGGCCCTGCGGGACTTGACATCTTTCTGCAGGGCCTGCAAGACAGAGCAGTTCCACCAGGCCTTTGGCCAAGGCACAGCCTGACCCCCTCCTTTGGTAATCCTCACAGAACTCTAGCCCAATGGTTGCCATTAATTTGATTTGAACTGATTTTATAATGAATTGATTTTAGAATGCTGTATTATTTTACTGTTGTTTGCCGCTCTGAGCCCGGCTTTGGCTGGGGAGGGCAGGATATAAATAAAAAATTATGATGATGATGATGATGGTGGTTCTGTGATTTCTGGGCCCAATTCAAGGTGCTTCCATGAAAGCCCTAAATGGCCTGGGAGCCAAATACGTAGAACATTGCCTCCTTCTCCACAGACCCTCTCAGGTGTTAAGAAGACCTGTAGAGAGGACCCTCTTTCTAGTTCTGTCATCCTTAGCTGTGGGGTTCAGATTGTTTCCATCTTCCAGGAAGGAAACGGAGAGCAAATCCATTGTGATATGCAATGAATGAGTGTGCAGACTACAGGCTCTTCCTTCTGCAGTGCACTTGTTTCTCCTTCCTCCGCCAGCCGTATGAGAGCGGAGCTTGGGTTTAGGTGTAGGGAGATGAGTCCTGATCTAGTGGGGAGGCTGGTTCCTTGCAGCTGGGCGGAGTGGGTGATTTACGGACAGGATGGCAAGGCTGTTATGATGACGGATTCACCATGTCATTGCCCTCTGGGCTGCGCTGAGCGCCAGCCACTTAGTGAAACACTTCCATTAACATCCATCCCCATCAGGGTGACTCTTTAATCTTCTTACATCAGCACCTCCCTACCAGGGGCTGCTCTTAAAGAGACAGGGACCTTGGGGACCTCTGCACTATGCGGAACTGAATTGTCCTGAGCCCGGTTTCCCAATCCCCACTCAAGACAGGCTGAGACAAGCATGGAACGCACTAGATTTTAGAAGGGCATTTAGTTGTCCCAGCAATTGAGACACACAGATACGATATGGACAAGATAAGTAAGGGAGATACCAAAGGATGGGGAATGGGGTCGCCCCACCCAGGAGACATCTCAGAGACGGTCAGAGGCTGAGTTGTCTGTGATTGATCGTGTGGAGCATAGGCGCAATCCTGCTCCAGCTAAGCACATTAATAAAAACCCATTAATTTCACTGTAAGAATCTTAAGGACTTATTGCAGAACCCAAGGTGCACACACATAGATTGGTGCAATGCCTGTTTCTTTCCAACAAGCACTGTCGCAATTTGCAGGCCTCTTTGACATCAGTCAGCTGAAACACGTGTTAAGAAGGGGATCAAAAATGCTGCACTAGTCAGGTCCTCGGAGATAACAAAGTTTTGTTTGCTTAATATATATGCAGTGTTTGCTCAGCTGCTTTAGAAACTCAAAAATGTATCTTCCCCAAATTGCACTTTCCCTGACATTACTATATATTGTTGACGGGACCATTTCTTCTTCCTTTTGCTCAGTCAGTGCACCACAGAGTAATATGTCTGCAAAAGTATCTTCATCACTGTCAGGGAACTGCCATCAGTGCCGGAGGGCGAGAGCAAAATCCAGAGGGATTCCAGAGAGCGTCCCGGGATTGGGAGAGGCAGCCCATCTTCTGGGGAAGAGAATCAGCGTAGCACCAGTGGAGAAGGGGGCAGATGGGGAAGCGGCGAGGCGCTCCCATGACTCCTTGCCGGGGACCAGCGGGGAGAGTAGAGGTCCTCCGCTGCCTACGCCCTCCTTGCGCAGAAGGCTTTCACGCAGAGAGAGTAGGAGGAGACTAGGCGTCAAAGAGCTTCTTTGCTGGAAGAAGTTTAAGAAACGCCCACTGATGGATTCTGCCAGCGATTGAGACAGCCACGGGTGAGTGGCTGTCCGGACAGAAAAGGTTCACTCAGGCAACCCAGCCAGGTGTTTGCACCGGCTTACGCACGAGCAACCCCTAGAACTACTACAATCACCTACTAGTTTGTTCCCTGTCAGACAATGGTTAGATCTATGCCAAAGTGCAGTTGACATTTTATTAGTAAGAACACACACACATCCATCTATCTTTCTATAAATCAAACTAAAGGACGGATTCAACTAAGTTGTTCTACTAGCCAAAGCCAGTGTAAGGAGTCATGCTAGAGCAAAGGGACTCTCCACCAATCCTGTGCAACCCCTGCTCCCTCCCCATATCTGCTTGTGGGGGTCAGAACCCCCAGAACAGGGGGAGAGGGGTGATGGTTCTGTCCACACTGGCTAAGTGCCCTAGAAAACAATGGGACATTCATTTTTTCTGTGTGAGATCATAGTGGCCATTTTGGATGCTGTGATCTTTGTGCCCCCCCAAGTGCTTTTTTCAGTACGAGAGTGAGGCATGGGTCATGTGGCTTGCCCGGGAACACATCCCAGAAGAGGCAAGCCCCAGTTCTGAGTCTCCAAAAGTTGGACGGTATGTTCTGTCTGGCAAGACAGAAAGATTGCCTTAGTGGAACTTTGAATTCCATCCTAACCCCACTTACCCGGGAATAAGCCTCATAGAAATTAACCTACTTCTGAGTAGGCATAGGGGAACTTCTGAACAGTCAATATTTTTGGAAGGGACTCAATTCAGTCACACCATGGCAAATTCAAGTTGGAGTGTTAGAGCTGATTGGAAGGTATTGCACAAAATACTGGATTTTTTTTGTGTGTGAATCGGAAAGTGATAAGTATGGGATGATGATCACCTTTCCGTCAAGGACTTGAAAGTGGTGTGGGATAGTCATGATTATGCCTCTTAAGTGAGTTTCTTAGAATTCATCCAGGACCCTACTGTGCAGCGCAGCATAGTAAGGTCAAGAACAAGCCAAGGGGTGGCATTCAGCTAAACAATTGCGCTAGTGAAATGGAACTTCCAACCTCTCATCCCCTGTGCATGCCCCACACTGTTCCCAAATCTCCTCCAGAGGGTGAGAGGAACCCCCAGAACAGATTTTTTTGTGGTGGGTGTGGGAAGTAGTTTGTAGTAGTTTGGATTTGATATCCCACTTTATCACTACCCAAAGGAGTCTCAAAGCGGCTAACAACCTCCTTTTCCCTTCCTCCCCCACAACAAACACTCTGTGAGGTGAGTGAGGCTGAGAGACTTCAGAGAAGTGTGACTAGCCCACGGTCACCCAGCAGCTGCATGTGGAGGAGCAGGGAATCAAACCCGGTTCACCAGATTACGAGTCCACCACGCTTAACCACTACACCACACTGCAGGGGACACAGGGAACCATTTGCTTTAGCACTCAGTTGAATTACAACCCAAGCTGTCATTTCCCTTACACCAAATAATACCATTGGTCCACCCAGCTCATTATCACTGGCTGGCAGTGACTCTCCAGAATTTCAGGAAAGGATTCTTTCGCAGCCCTACCTGGAGATGTCAGGGATTGAACCTGGCACTTTCTGCATGCAAGGCACTCACTCTACCACTAAGCTATGGACCTTCCTTACAGCCCTTCCCCTTCTTATGCGCATGTGATGCTTAAAACAAACAACGCACGCATGGAACAGAAAGGTAGAAGCAGGGGTCCTCAAACTTTTTAAACAGGGGGCCAGTTCACTGTCCCTCAAAAACTGTCGGGGGGCCAGACTATAGTTTTTTTAAAAAATATGTATTTACGTGCAATACACTCCCCTATTTTTTACTCAAGAGTAGAAGAAGAAGAAGAAGAGAAGAAGAGTTTGGATTTGATATCCCACTTTATCACTACTCGAAGGAGTCTCAAAGCGGCTAACATTCTCCTTTCCCTTCCTCCCCCACAACAAACACTCTGTGAGGTGAGTGGGGCTGAGAGACTTCAGAGAAGTGTGACTAGCCCAAGGTCACCCAGCAGCTGCATGTGGAGGAGCGGGGAAGTGAACCCGGTTCACCAGATTACAAGTCTACCGCTCTTAACCACTACACCACACTGGTTGACATGAGTGGCCATGCCTAACCCGGGTCCATTCATTCCAGCGGGCCTGCTCTCTGCGTAAAAGTTAAGTTGACATCACATCCCAGCAGAGCGGAACAACTCCTGGGTAAGTGCGCACCATGCAACGGTCACAACAATATTGTGGAAAGGTCTCTGTGTGCGTGTGTAATCACCGGCTCCGTGCAAGCGCCACACAAATCTTCTTGCAACAATCATCCCCTCCGCTTTGCATGCTCCGCTTTGCCGAGTGGAGGCGGAGATCAGCCCCCCCAAATTTATAATTCAGCAGAAGATTTGGATTATTTGATATGTATACAGTGGTACCTCGGGCTAAGTACTTAATTAGTTCCGGAGGTCCGTTCTTAACCTGAAACTGTTCTTAAGCTGAAGCACCACTTTAGCTAATGGGGCCTCTTGCTGCCGCCGCACCGCTGGAGCACAATTTCTGTTCTTATCCTGAAGCAAAGTTCTTAACCTGAAGCACTATTTCTGGGTTCGAGGAGTGTGTAACCTGAAGCGTATGTAACCCGAGGTACCACTGTATGTATAATTTGGAATATTTAATGTGATTGGATTGGATTGTTAAAATGGAAAACTTAATAAAAACGATTTTTTAAAAAAGAGAGAGAGCAGCCCCCCACCTGAGGCCCCAGCCCGGTTACCTGCAATGGTGGCGCCCCCTTTTTCTTCCTCATATCCCAACTGCCCAGAAAGGGGCCGTGGCTGGCGCAGCGGCGTCGGGGAGGAGGAGGCCGAGGGGAAGCCAGGGGCCCTTGCCAAGCGCACACTGTCGCCAGGGGAAAGCCTCGTTCAAGTGCTGGGGGCGGCAGTACCACCTCCGCCCTGCTCTGTGCCGTTGCCTCCCCTGCATAAAAATCCAAACGTTGCGGCTTCGGATTGGCTGCAGGAGCTTCCTGCAGCCAATCCGAAGCTGCGCCGGCATCGCCGCCCGCCCAGAAACCAAGCCAGCGTTGTGGAAGTCAGTCCCCATGCAGCGAGGTTTCTGCAGCACGTGGGGACTGACTGAGCGGGTGGCAGGGTCCGCGGGCCAGATTTGTGAGCCTGGGGGGCCGCATCAGGCCCCTGGGCCATAGTTTGCCGACCCCTGGGTAGAAGGATAGCACTAAGCTATCCTAGGGTTGCAAGATGTATACATGCCCAAGGCAGGTTACAAAGCTGAGGTCACAAAGTACATGAAAAACCCATTATGACCTCTGTTCGAAATGTTGAGTTTGTCCATCTTCTCTTTAGTTTTGGCATGTGAATTGGTCTGACCCCACATGCATGCCTTTTTTAGTGTTTGAGATGAAAATGGAGAAATCCACTCCCTCCTCCTTTAGGCAATCTACGAGAATTCTTAATCACCCTCCTAGTTAGAAAACTGAGTTTGTCCAGCTCTGAATCCGAGTTGCCAGGAGGTATGGAGCTGTGTTTGTGCTCCATTATAAAGGACTTTGGCACCTATTGCATTCTCCCCATAAAGGTAAATTACACACTGCAATCATGTCATCCCTTTGACAGGTTGAAAGGATTGCAGTCCTGAGGTCCAATCGCAGCCTGGCTTCTCTAAACCCTCAAATCATCTTTCCAACACCTCCCTCCATGTACTTCAGTTTTCCCCGACATCCATTTCAAGGAAAGCATGGGTGCCAGGGTGTTCACACAGTGGCCAACAATGTTTCACCAATGCTATAATATTTCCCTGTGCTTTTCTCACCACCTTCCTGTAACTCCATCCAAGATTCACATATTAAGAGCCACAAACGCAGTGGAATCTCTTTAAGTGCTTAAAACTTAGAGCCTGCCATTCTCAGATTGCTTGCCGTTTCCAAACAAATAAGGGGACTTTCCAGTTAAGGGAGAACCTACAGTTTCTTTCTAAATGCTATTTCATACCCACCAGCCCCAAACTGGTGGTAGTGGGGCAGTATCCACAAGTAATGGGGGTTACGTGGATGGTTACGTGGGAGCCGGTTGAAGTTAAATCCTTTGAAGACAGAGGTCTTTAGGCTGGGTTGGGACGATATGGGATTGGGGGGGCAACTCCCATCTCTTGTGGGGGCGCAATTAGTGCCAGCGCCAACCGTTAAGAGTTTGGGTGTAATCTTTGACGCCTCCCTTTCCATGGAGGCGCAGATTGCAGCTATAACAAAGGCAGCATTTTTTCATCTCTGCCAAGCTAAGCAGTTGGCTCCTTACCTCTCTCGCCCTGACCTAGCCACTGCGATCCACACGACGGTCCCCTCCAGACTGGATTATTGTAACTTGCTCTACGTGGGGCTGCCCTTGAGACTGACCCAGAAACTCCAGTGGGTGCAGAATGCCACGGCGAGACTCCTTACGGGGTCCTCGCTGCGGGATCACATTCACCCGGTACTATACCAGCTTCACTGGCTCCCAGTAGAGTATAGGATCAGGTTTAAGGTGCTGGTTTTAACCTTCAAAGCCCTATACGGCCTAGGACCCTCGTACCTACTGGACCGCCTCTCCTGGTATGTCCCACAGAGGAACTTACGGTCTTCAAACAAAAACATCTTGAAGGTCCCAGGCCACAGAGAGGTTAGGCTGGCCTCAACCAGAGCCAGGGCTTTTTCAGCTGTAGCTCCGATCTGGTGGAACGCTCTGTCACAAGAGACTAGGTCCCTGCAGGACCAGGCCTTTGGCCAGGGCACAGCCTGACTCCCTCCTTTGGCAATCCTCACAGAACCTCTAGCCCAGTGGTTGCCATTAATTTGATTGGAATTAATTTTATAATGAAATGATTTTAGAATGTTTTATCATTTTACTGTTGTTAGCTGCTCTGAGCCTGGCTTCGGCTGGGGAGGGCGGGATATAAATAAAATTTATTATTATTATTATTATTATTATTATTACTATTAATGCATGGAAGCATCAGGGCAAATGGGGCACTGATCCACCAACCTTAGTCTACCTTCAGCCAGCCCCCACCTTAGGCTCACTGTCCTTAGGCTCAACGTTGTAGAAGGCAGCCAGGAGCAGAATGAGGACAAAAACAGTAGGCTCTGCCTGTAACTGACTCTCTGGCTCCACCTACTGTTGGTCTCCCTGCCTTCTGCTCTATCAGTTCAAAAGGGCACTAGCAGCCACCCACTGCATGAAAGGGGAGTTTTGCTAGGTCATGGAGAGATTTGTAAAAAAGGAGGAGGAGCTCGTGAGAGTTGTCAACTTTTTACTGGCCCTGCTTCTGTGTCTTTAATAGCAGCTTGACACACAGAAGATAACAAGGCAACTTTTTTTTTTTTTGTAACGGGGACAAGCAAGGGCTTAATACTGCAAATGGATCTCTGAGATATCACAGATGGGTTGCTGGCAACAGGTGGGTGTTTTTTAACACCAGGTTTTTCCTCCAAAGGGGATGCGGGTGGCGCTGTGGGTTAAACCACAGAGCCTAGGACTTGCTGATCAGCAGGTCGGCAGTTCGAATCCCCGCGACGGGGTGAGCTCCTGTTGCTCGGTCCCTGCTCCTGCCAATCTAGCAGTTCGAAAGCACGTCAAAGTGCAAGTAGATAAATAGGTACCGCTCCAGCGGGAAGGTAAATGGCGTTTCCATGCGCTGCTCTGGTTTGCCAGAAGCGGCTTAGTCATGCTGGCCACATGACCCGGAAGCTGAATGCCGGCTCCCTCGACCAATAAAGCGAGATGAGCGCCACAACCCCAGAGTCGTCTGCGATTGGTCAGGGATCCCTTTACTTTTACCTTTTTTCCTCAAAAAGGGAAAATCTGGATTACATGGAATGGGGGAAATAGAAGCTGTCATCTGCATGTCAGTGACACCTCGTGGACTCTGCGGAAAAGCCTTGGACACAGGAGGAGCACCCATTCCACAATAAACACATATCTGGCAACATCCAAAGTGAGAGAGAAAGCTTCCAACTATTTACATTTGGAATCTGGTTGACCCAGCCTCTTTTGTGGGGCTTTACATAGGAGCTGGGCCAGTACAAATGCTGGTAACCCTAACTGGGCAGCGGCACTATATGTGTGTGGGGTGGGGATGTTGCAAATAAAAACCTGTCCTTTTCCCTTATGGGGTATCCAAGAGCCCATATTGAGTCCTTACGTAGGTTCCCTATTGGTAGGAGAAAGTAACAGAGGCCAACCAGAGAATATTGAGAAGCAAAGCAGCTAGTAAGCCTGATCTTTATTAACGCTGTTGCAACAGGGTGCCCCCTCACATGCAGGAAAGGAGGAGGAACCCCAAACAAAAAGTGTGCCTGCCCTTATATAGACATTTTAAATTCCCTCCCTGGAGTCCAAGACCACCCCCAGAAACATCATACCGACATCACAGAAAGGGTGGTCTACAGCAGAAATCTGAGTGCTTTGTTTACCTCCTGTCTGCCAGGTTACCTGTTTAATGGTCACTTGATTGGACTGCCTGGGGAGCCTGGCCAGTCTTTTGTAATGATAAATACTTAGTCTCTGAGCCAGGTCACAGGCTCACACCCTATTCATATTTTAAATATGCCCTTAAGACAGGATTTGTGAAGGAAAAGACAGTGGGGAG